AGCAGAAGGAGGAGTAGTAGTAGCAGTAGTAGTAGTAGTAGCAGTAGTAGCAGTACTAGTAGTAGTAGTAGTAGTAGTAGTAGTAGTAGTAGTATTAGCAGTAGCAGTAGTCGTAGAAGTAGCAGAAGGAGGAGTAGTAGTAGCAGTAGCAGCAGTAGTAGAAGGAGTAGTAGTAGTAGTAGTAGCAGCAGTAGCACCAGCAGAAGCAGAAGGTGAAGCAGGAATGGAAGCATCTGTAGTAGCAGCAGCAGTAGCAGCAGTGGCGGTGGAAGTGGCAGTAGCAGTAGCAGTAGCAGCAGTAAAGCTAAAGGCACGGACAAAACTAGCCCCTGAACAAACTACTCACTACTCTGAACTTTCGCGCCACACCGGAACCTTTGCGCCAAGGCTCATATGTACACACATAAAAGTCTCTCTCTTTTTCTCTCTCTCTCTCTCTATATATATATACATACATACATACATACATACATACGTACATACATACATACATACATACATACATACATACATATACATGAACATGTATATATATATATACATATGCATGTGTGTGTGCGCACGCATGTCCGTGTGCGTGCGTCTGTGTGTGTATATATGTGCGGATGGGATCTTCCGACGATCATGGATAACATGGCAGGAACGGACGCTTGGTAGGAGTGGGTGGGGGACAGACTTCGAACTTTCTAAGCTGCTTCTGCATGTCTGCATGTGTGTATATATGTATATATATATATATGTATCTCTCTCTCTACTACAAACAGATGTTGAGGAACAGATCCCAGAGGGAGACAAAGAAGGAGCGAGGGAAGCTACGAGTGCTGGCAGTGGCATTGAAAGACAGAATGTTTTGATCTGAGGTTGTCCATGACTTGAGGGTTACCAAAAGGTGACCACTTCAACATGGGCAAATGACCATTGGCATTTGACAACTCCTTGAACCCGAAGCTTGAGCAGAAGTTGTTGAGGTTTGCAGCCGCGTTAAGAGTCGGGGTGTTATTCTCAAAAGGCACTGAGAGCAGAACTGTCGGTCTCGGGCGTCACTAGTCTTCGAGACTCATGAGTGGGGCGGATGTCAATTATCGATACACTCTTCACAGTCTTTGAGGTGCATGGTGCTAGTTGCCCACTCCTCACCACAGAGCCTGCCTTGATTCCAATCGTTCCCTGCCGCATCTGCACATGGCGGACTGCTTCGGAGATGTAATGGCGCTTGGGCTCTCCAGTGGAGATCCTCGGTCCAGGGGCCCTGGATTCAGGGTCTTCCGATCTTCTCCGAAGCTTTGTCCCCTTGTGTAAAACCTGGCGTTTACCGGTCCGGTCCGGCCGGGTCTGCAGATGAAACAGAACCAAGATGACAGTTCTCTTGGTCCTGCGCCCTGTCATCTTGAATGCGTCTGAGTGTCAGATAGCCCTGTCTGAACTTCATTGCCTCGGCTCAGCGTCAACAACAGCGGCATTGCAGCTCAGAGCAGTAACTCCTTGGAACCTCCTATTTGCTTTGGAACCACTTAGGGTTTGGGATGCTTTAGGGTTTGTTTCGCTCCCGCATGGCTTATAGGGTTGAAAGAGTTTTGGGTTTATTATGAAGTTTATGGTTTATGGAAATTCGGAGCTTGCACTCGGACTGTCCATCGGCGTGAGCGTTTGTGGAGCTTGGGGGCTTAGGGTCTCTGGGTCTCATCTCCCACGCAACTTGCACGAAGACCACTAAAGGTAGGAATTAGGATTAGGGGGACCCTTGGGGATATAGACCCTCTCAATAAGGTCCCTTCTAAGAGATCCAGAAGTAGGGTTAAGAAGGGTCCCCTTTAAGGGGTCTCCCTGATACTACCTAGGACCAAGGAAAATGCCGGGTAGCCTTGGCTCGCTGCGCTCGCAACTTGCCACTGATGATAACTTCCACACCCTTGGCGCCGTTCTCCATGATAAACCTGCTTCCATGCAGCTGGGCGACTTACAGATTCACACTCGGGATTGCTGCACTCAATCAAGGAGTTGCACGACGAGCCCTCATGAGAGAGCTTTCAGAGAAAAACTGCAGTTTGCCCACGGCACAGGAGGGAGGGTTCAAATTTCCACGCAGGGCATGTTGATATCGGTGCTGTGTTGCGTTCTTGTGGAACAAAGGTTGGCGCAGGATTGAAAACTCAGAAGACTGGGCATTTACACCTGTCGGGATACCATATTGAAGCACAGTAAGTGATATCCCTCCTCGCGACCGATCTGCAGAGTAGATGCTCCGGTGTTCGAAAAAACAGCCGCTCCAAACTAACCAGCACAGATTGCTGAAATCACTCCTGAGAAAAACAATCACTAGTAACACTAGCACTAATTAGTTAGAATTCCCAAGCCCTAGCGCCAACCTTACTACCTTAGCCACCCGACATGTGGAGGATGTCAGAAGCTGGTATGTTTGCCTTATCCCTGGCCGTTGCGGCAGAATCACCGCAGCTTCTTTCTAAAACTATAGGCCACGAGACATGGCGAACATGTCAGGGCAAACCCATCCAGAGCAGCTTGCTGTGAAAGAACATGCGGACTCTATGAATAGAGGTGTTGGTTTTAGGCGCATGTCTTTGAAGCCATAAGGGGCCTTGTTGCAGCAAAACATAAGTCGTCTGAATAGCTCAAACTTGGCACTCGCGCCTCAGCACGCCGTAGCCTCAGCTATGAACACCCTAATTGTTCGTGCTGATGCCGGCTGGTGCTGGTGTTTCAACCAAAGCGTGTGGCGCATGCTCCACAGTCGAGGCTTCTTAGGCCCTTCATGGGTTCCTAAGTGGCCAGGGCTAGTACTCTCTCCTAGATTCTGAACTCACGAGCGGGTAGGGCGACAAAAGGCATACGTCCGGTCTCGAACCCGTTGTAAATTGCATTCATGTAGGGGCCTAAATAGTTACCAAGTCAATACTATTCTGGGGGTTCCCTGTTATAAGTCTTATAAGTATATTGTCATATACCCCAAACCCTATTCTAATCATCTATATACTAGTTGCCTCCTGCATTGCTCGACATTGTTCGACTACATCAGCTGGGCAGGCCTCAACACCTGACTCGCGAATTCTCCGCCGATTGCCAACACGAAACGTGGCAGGCGCACTTAATGATCCTCTAGAAGATACATGTCAAGAGAAAGGTAGACAAGGATACTCCGCAATGACTCAGCCTGTGCGTGCTTCCTGTAAGCCTGACCGGTCATAAAATCTAGGCCGAGCGGCAGGCACGGCGCACGGCCAAGCCGCCGATGAGCTTGAAGCGGAGTGATTCACATTGCGCCTTGAGTTTGGGGCTTTCCGGAATTTCAAGACCCTAACCTCGAAGTTGTCCACCTCAGGCTTAAGTCGACATGACGTGTGCCGCATCTGCATGTTTAGGAACTCCACCGCTCGCTGTATTGAGACACGTGGCTGCATGCTGGCCGACACATTGCCAGGGATGGCAGGGGAAGCTGACATGGGAAAAAGTGGATCTGCCCCGTGTCTGACTAAAGTGTAAGAGTCTCGAAGAGCCCATGGATCGACTGTAATTAAAGTTTAATCTTAAACTTAAACCTAAACCCTAAGCCCTAAACTCCCGCATTAAGCCCAAGCCATAAGGCCGCGTGAGGCGAGGGGCCATCGCGCAACTGGCTCGATTCTCAACGCGCTCGGCGAAGAGCTCAACACTGTTCCTTGGCTCCAAAAGTCCGTGGGTTTTCGACTCGCACACTCGCCACAAGCAGGCCGGATTTCAGGCATGAAGCCCGACTACAGGCAAACTACGGCCACAAGGCAGGCGACGAGCACCAAAAACAAACATTGGCTTTAGGGGTTTAGGTCTAGCAGATAGTTTGGGGTAACCACATCAGCCTGCTTCAGCTGCTTAGGTATACTCTATCGGCCTTCGGGGGTAGGGCACTCTCAACCTGCCCAGCATCTTCGGAAAAGGCTGGCGGTTAAAATCCCTCGCGTCGCACAGAAAAAGAAGCCAAAAATCCTGTAACATCGAATATCCCCCTACCCTAAACCCTCCAACCCCTCCTCCGGAGTGCGCAACTTTTCTGCCATTCATCAAGCCTTAATCTTCGGACCCCTTTCTGCCATGCGTCTCCGGAAAGCCAAAGCGCTTCTGCACCAAAGCCGTCAGCTCTCGGATTCTTCGACCCTTCTCTCCCAGAACCTCCCTGGTCCTCGCCGAGTTTCGCGTTTAGGGCTTTGGGTTTCAGGGGGCTTAGACGTTGGAGTCGGATTGCGGCGTTTCGACTCTGGTTCATGTCTGTTCCAGGCTTGGGGTTTAGACTTTCGAGTGGGCGTCGTAGCTTGGCGAGCCGAGATTTTACCCTAAACCTACCCCCTGAACCCTAACCCTACACCCAGAAGAAACCCGGGTAAGTTTCAGCAGTCACAGCTCAGCACAATCCAGCTGAAGCTGAACAGGAGCCAAGCCAAGCTCTAAACCCTCGGCAATGGGGACCGTAAAGGGACACTATGCTAGAATCGGGTTGTATAGGGACTACACGGGGATACTAGATAACTCTTCCGACCACTGTAGTAGCGCCAGCAGCACGAACAGTTAGGGCCTGTGGATATTGCTTTGCAAGTTGGTCACTACTACAAGTGTCCGTCTTCTTAGCAATCTTTGTGCTCTCCTTGTTGCCCCAATTAACCTCTCATCACCCAGGCAGCCACTGAGTTCTCTTCACATCAGGGAAATGTAGTGCTTCTGGGGCCTATTTGGGGGCCACCGGCTACAGATGGCTACAAATTGAAACACCTGAACAGAATCTCTGCTGAAATGAAATGAAATGAAAACTCCCCGGGTGGGGTCCGGGTGACTGCAGCAGCCTTCAAAACAACTTGTGCCAAATGTGTAACCGAATTCCCTGGTCTAGTGCTACAGAATCTACAGAACCCTTCGGTAGCTTAAGCGTCGTTGCACGAAGCTACATAAACCCTAAACCCTAAACCCTACACCCTGCTGTACCACAGGCCATCAACAATCCCGCCGCCTCGTGGCACGGATGATAATCTCTGTCCGAATCGGCGTCACTCGCACCTCTACGCCAGCATAGCCATCCTGCTCGGTGGGAAGAAGATGCCGTCGACTGCCCGAAAGCCGAAACCGAAGGGGCAGCCGCAGCGTATCCGATGGGGATGTTGAGCCAAATCTGGCTTACGCACATCGGGCTTACGCGTGCAGGTGGGAATTCAGGACCTTGCTCTCGATGCTTGGTTCCAGCCACATCCAGGAAACAGGTAGCAATGTACAGGTAGGTGGGTGGGCACCTTTAACTTTTAACTGGCCCCAAACCCTTACTCCGACAGCGACTGGTGTAGGATTACACCTTAGTTCAAAGCAGTTCAATCCTAGGCTGAGCTGGGAGTCAGCAACGCGGCTTCAGGTGTGGCTTGTCGACGTTAACGGCACTCCTGAGACTCTAGTGGAGCCATGTGGCCCTAAACCCTGAACCAGTGGAGTCCTTCAACCTTCGGAGCTAACCCCACTTGCAGAATGATCCCTGCACTGGTCTACAGAACTTGGCAATAGTATATGACAACAGCTGCCACTGCTGACACTGCCAACTAGCGCTACCACCACCACCACCACTCAGCAACTTTGAGCCTTGAATGTTTCTGCACCTGTAGCTCGACACTCCTGCAAACATCGAAACCCTCAACCCCAAAACCTCTACAACCTAATTTCCTACTACTCTCTAAAAGCCTCGAACCTCTACAATCTAAGCCTCTGTAACTTCATAACCTCTCCAAGAACTCGAAACACCTGCAAAACGGTGGCCTACTACTACTCCTCCTCCTCCTCCTGCTGCTGCTGCTGCTGCTCCTACTCCTCCGCCTCCTCCTCGACCTCCTTCCCCTCTTCCTCCTACTCCTACTTACTCCTACTCCGACTAATACTGCCACCACTCCTACCATCACGACTTGCTAGGCTACAACTATGACTCTTGTTTTCTCTTACTTTATCATATCAGCTCTCGACATTTCAAGCCGCACGCGCCTTTGCGCTCTCACAGCTCGTGTCTGGAATTATGGTCTAAAGAGATCTTCCCTCGAAAACCCATCCGGTATCGGGTTTAGGTAATCTGCAGCCCTGAATATTGTAACAGCCTTCGAGTCCTAAACCAGGACCCATGCCTCGCCCAAAGTTCGCGCGAGGAACTCATTCAGCTCCGCATTGAATACTCCTCAGCATGCAGGACACTATGTGTCTATGCATGCATGCACGAAAGCTCGTGCATAGGCAAAGGCGTAGGCACTTATGGCTTCGGGTCGTGGTTTGGCATGTAGAACCCGAGCGGAATCGTCAGTCCTGTGGTGCGAAAACCATGTGGGGTGCAACCGCTCAAGGGGCTATGAACAAATCGGAAAAGCCTCGCAGCTTGGTCGTTCCGACAGCACTTGCTGTTTCTGCTGTGATGTCAATGTACGTGACACAAACTGTCGCACTTCCTTTCGTGATGATCCCGTCGGCTGCAAGCAGCACCCCCTCAATCCTGGCGTGTCCCACGCAAGTGAAATTCTGATCGTCCCCAGTGCTTGCCGCGAAGCGGTGTTTCAGGTTTGGGAGTTCATATCATCTAGCAGTCACGGAGCATTGACTTGTGCATCGGAATTCCCGGTTAGAGACATTGCCCGCGCCCGCGCCCTGGTCTTGGACACGAACAGTACATGGACTGGAATGCGTGATGACATAGTAAGCTTTACTTTAAGCGGTTACCTGAGGCTCTCAAGCTGGATCCACCGGAAAACCCGTTACTTCTTAGACACCAAGGAGCCATCGGCCACGAACTTTCGCTTCTTCGATGTGCTACCGGCACTCATGGCTGGCGATGCAGCTGGGCGCTTGAGCAAAAACCCTGCACATCACGAACCCTAAACCCCAAGCCCTAAAGAGTCCCTGAATCTATGATCTCAAAGCCATTTCCTCCTAACCCTGAACCACTTAAACACCTTGAGGGCTTAGGGTCTATAGGGGTTTACGGTTCCTGACCCACTCACCGCAACAAAACAACAAACATCTCCGTTGCGTCAGCTGAACATCAGCCCTGTAGAATCAGAAACTTCCATAACTTCTCGACTACCCACCATTTCGAGTGATCCAGGTAGCAGCTAGCATGTGTGAGCTTGCCGACCAACCGAGTTGCTTCTTCTGGGATCGGGCTTCATCCTCGTTCCTGAGCTGAATGGTAAATCTATGGAAAATCTGACGAAGCTGGCCGGGCAAAGAACTATGACGACGCCACATGCAGCCAACAAGGTGCAGATTTGGCTGTGCTGATTGCGGTGTTGCGGTGGTGTTGGGGGTAGCTATGGCAAGGGAGAAGATGATGTCTCCCATACAGCCACGGTGGCAGCTCAGTAGCATCAGCAACTGCAAGGCGCAGGTAGCTTCTGCAGAAACGAGACCCGCCATATGTTCGCCAGGATAATCCATTGTCCAACAGTACACTTGATGACAGCAGTCGCAGTCGTTACGTGTTGGTGCTGGTGCTGGTGCTGCTGGTGGTGAAGGCGGCGGTGGTGGTGGCCCAGTGGTGGCAGTGGCGGTGGCGGTGGTGGTGGTTGTGGCGGTGGCGGTGGTGGGAGTGGTGTTTGGTGGTCTTGGAGTTCTTTCTGTTGATGCTGGTCGTCGTTGACATTGCGGTATTCGCTGCAGCGCTGGAAGCAGTGGTATGTCTTTCTCAAGACAAGGAGTAGCAACAACCATACAACCCGTAGTACATCACGCTTATACTGCTTGGCGACTTAATCGTGATCATAATATCAACGATATCTGACGGTAATGGACTGAGGCGATGGCTCCTTTTGCGATAGGCGCGCCAGGTTCTCCACACGTTGTGTCTTCCTCTGCTCCTGATGCACGAAGCATTCTCAAAACTGCCGAACTCGAGATCTCACCAGTTGAAACATAGGGGCCTTAGGATAAGAACACGATTTGGAGGTGTCAAAAAAGGTAGATATACAGGGATTACGGGGGACCGTTATGACGATAACTGTTCAATCAGGTTCTGGATTACAAACCTCCGATGTCTAGTCCAGAGGAAGATTCCAAAGCCTGTGAATGTCGGGCCGACGAGGCTTCAGATTCTAAGAGCCGTGGGACGCCGCTTACGCTGCGAAGTAGCGGATGACAGGCAAAGCAACCAATCTTGCGGGCCCTGACCGTCCATGAACTTGGAACAACCGACAACAGCGTGGCTCACTGAATGACTCATTGCCGGTCCGACCGACCAGTTCAAGCTCGAAGCTGCGGGTGGCCCTTCCAAGGGCTCCCGGAGGTAATATTGGGAATACGAGAATTCGGATTCGGCAGTTGTGATCTATAGCTATGTACCTAATTGATCGGGTAAGCTATGGCAAACGCAGCGTGCAACTGTCCTCCTCCAAATTGTCAAGCTTGGTAAGCTCGCCTTTGAGCCTCAGCAGAAGCGATAAATCCGACATCCCAACCCTGACCGTCACTTCTGCTGACCATCTGGCCTCCATGGGCCATTGGGTGCTGGCCAGAAAGTGCAACAGTCCACGCATGCGAGAAGACTAGTGACTAGCATCCCAAGCGCTAGCCAAGACCGAAGTGGGAACAATCTCACATCAAGTGCAAATCCGACATGAGCACCGTGACACACGCTGCCGGACGCAGCACATCTGCACTGAACCAGCAACCCTACCCCGTTCCAGTAAGGTTGCAGCTCTTTCTGGGCAGACCTTGGCTTGCCATAGCAGCACTGGCCGATCACAAGAGTGCCCGGACGGGGTATCATAGGGGGGTTACTATAAGGGCTACTTAGGGTGTACTATATGGTACCATAAGACTAATGGGTGCCATAAACGATCTGGAGTTATGCGGCCAACCCCCCGACCCCAAAGAAGAACATGCAGGTGTACACGCGACGGGATTCTATTCGAAGCTTCTTGTCCTTCACCCGCTTGACAGAGGGACCAGGAAGCTGGCCAAAAACTTAAGCAGTAACATGTAAATATGACGACCCTTCGGAATGACGACGAGCTGCTTCAGTTCACTCTCCTCCGGCTTCGAGGGCACCGCAACTCTGTGCGAACTCTTGCCTCGCAGAGGCGGGTCGGGTTGTTCTTTGTCGCACTATGGTTCCTAGACTGGCAGCATGATGGACAGCACTGTCGTTGTTAACTATTCAGACTATCACTGTGACTATGTAAGTACGATGTCCTAGTCCTAAATGGTATGATTCAGCATGACCACTGTGTCAGTATTTGTTTGTTGCTCGTGAGGCATTTTGACCCGACTGGTGTTTTTTGAGCTTGGCCGTCCTGAACATATACTATGAACTATTAACTATAGTCTATGTAATATTAACCGACTTTATACTACATACTCATATACATACGTATATACTATACACTTTACACTATACTATGCTGTGCCGTACCATGCTAGACTACATCATGCTAGACTATTTCATGCTGTACTATACTATGCTGTACTACCTGTACTAAACTGTATTTTACCATGCTGTGCAATTTTATGCTAGACTTCGACTGAAGTCGACCATACTGCAGCTACAGTAGTCGGGTCGGAAAGTGGCTTCAGTCGGAGTCCATGGCTTGCTATGAGGCTCGCAATTGTTTGGGTTCCCATGGGTGAGATGCTCCTTCACTACGACTCTTGCTGGCTAGGAACCTGCTTCATCTGAATGGTGAAGTGGCACGCCGGATGGCCGTTCATGCGGCAGATCGGATTTCGCTTCTGGCAGAGGCCTGCGCCGTTGTGCTCACGGGTTTCTGTGGGAGGCTTTTGGGTGGTCTTCGATCTTCTACACGAACGTGCGACTCGGCTCGAGCAGCAGCTAGCGTAGGACGAGACGAGGAAACTCTCATGGTCGTTGAGGACACCTACATAGTATATACTGTATGTGTATATATATACACTATGTACAGTATGCAATGTAAAAATACACATACAGTATCTACTATAGTCCTTGAAATGAGTCTTCAGGGATTTCTAGCACTGGGTTAGGTACACATAGGATTGCCAACCGTAGCTGGCATGCTCAATTGCAGAAAGGATAGGCATTTGCCTTCAGGTCAACCCAGCTTCGCTTCGTGGTCCTCTATGGTAAGGGTCGAAAGATTCCAGGTGGAGCTGAAAGCTGCAAATCCAATCCACCCCTTCGAGACTTCCAGACATGTACGTACGATGTTACGACCACGGCCGACCGGTCGAGATGTTGAGTGGCTGGAAGGGCAGTGATAAGCTGCTTCGGATGCCAAGTAACTTGGGTAGCAAGACGGTTCCCATGAAGACGACCGCTGCGCAGATCAGCAACCAACGCACGCCAGCACTGTTGATAGCTCTTTCGCAAGTGCCTCGGACAACAAAGCAACTGGCAGATTTTTCTGAAGGCAGGGCCAAGAGAAGTGATGCGTACAGGCTTCATGTGGCCCAGATCCTAAACCCTAAACCCTATACACCCTAAACTATAAACCTTTAACCCCTTAACCCTCAGTCTCGGGAACATCTTCTAGTATTGCTCGGTCACAAGCTTTCCAAGGTGACTGTGGAAGAGTTCCGGCCCTAATCAAGAAATCCCAAATGTCCAAAACCCCCAAATCACCGTGTTCGGGGATTTGGGGTTTAGGGTTTCCCCTCTGGTTGAACCTAGACTCTAAACCCCGAGCCGCAAAATGTCCCACAAATCATCAACTGTCGACACCTTTTTTGAGCCGGGACTGCAATGCACTAAGCCCTGAATCCCTTCAGCTAAGCTCCAAACAAACAGTCGACACCTGAAGCCGTAATTTTGCCTGGATACAGTCCTCGTACTTCGCCACCATGTCCGCCTCCTGTGGCATCTCTTTGTCTTAAGGCTCTGACTGCCTTAACGCAACCAACCTGCCTAGGGTTTAGGGTTTGGGGGTTTACGCTCTCACAACTCGGACTAGCCAGGAGGGTTTAGGGTTTAGGGATTTGTCATATATTGGGCAGCTTACTGTCAGGCTCAGAGCTCTGTAAACTCTTTGCTGCAACATTCTGGGCTGGGGTGTTGGACATGGACGCAGTTTTGGCATCTCTCTCCGAGTCTCTACGGAAAGAACATGCAAAAGTTACGTGCCGGTCTAGAAGGACGGGTTCCTACACACAAACACACACACACAGATAGATAGATATATATATATATATGTCCGCAAAGCGATTGGCAGGGTCGCTCTGCGGAGACTTTTGAGGTATGAGATGCCATAGAGCGTGGGAGCCGATGGGTCTGCCCCTGATTCCTTTTGAGCTGTAATCTGCGGAGTGCCACCATACTTTCGAACAAAGGACGCTTCCTCAAACTTCTCCTGAAGCTGCCACTTCGACCTCTCAGAAACTCCCACTTCTCGCAGATCTGATAGGTGCCCTGCTTCATTGAAACCAGCTCTCCCGAAAGAGCTCCGAAGATAGAGACTGAGTTGTCAATGGCACTCGAAACTAAGTATCTCAGCACTCGGGCCGTCTTCAAAAGCCTTCACAACTTATTCACTCCCACACGCACGCACGAACCATCAACCTTCCACCTTACACCCCGGCCCCCCCACCTCGAAAAGGAACCTCACATCCTCTTAACTTCCCGGATTCCCGGGCTCCCCGACCCGGACCCTTCAATCCCGAAACTTCCGGCCCCGAAGCCTAGCCGAAGATTGGCCCTCTTCCAGGAGCGCCTGCTTCGCCTTCTTCTCCTTCTGCCTCTGGCCCTTCGTCTGGGTCGTCGGGTTTGCACCCAGCAGGGGCTGGCCTGATGAAGCTTCAAAGCTTACAGGAGGTCGGGGTTTGGGGGCTTTAGGGCTTACACAGTTTCAGGCATAGATAGGGGTAGGTTCGCTATGCTTCGGTTTTTGGCATTCAGGGTCCAAAAGGGATTCTTGTCTGAGTTCAGCTAACTGCTTAGTCATTATACTTGCACTCAGATGTGACTGAAACTGCTCTTCTCGAGCAGCAGGAACACTATCAGCTACTGCCATGTTCGGGTTTTCAGGTGCTCCAATCTGGTTGCTGCTTGCAAAGAGCTTGGTTTCCGAAGCTAACAAGATCGGTTCGAGATTAGTTGGAATTTGGGATAAACAGCAATAAATACGAACAACCTGTCCAGACAGTCTCCACACATACTCGTATGTATGTATGTCCTGCATCTGTGTATGTATGCACGTACACACGAATGGATATAGACGTGCTTGCACATACATACACACACATGTATGTATGTATATATATATTTATTTATTTATTTATTTGTATATAAATAACATACATGTATATACATATACACACATGTAAATACATATATATATATAGATGTATTTGTATATAAACGTATGGAGAGAGAGAGAGAGGCATATGATAAGCATATGAATATATACACATATACTTATGAACACTTAACTTTGTTGATATAAGTTTAAAAATAAAAACCAGCCTATAAGAACATAATAGGCGTATGATCTAAATACAAGATGAGTAAAAAATGAATATAAGTATGGATATGAATG